GCCTCAGCATAAATACCACATGCACTATCCTTTTGAAGAGAAATGGTATGGAAAGGCTATTGCAAATTGTCTTTAATTTGTTGCCTGATCTGGAAATGACTGGTGTACAATGGTGAGCACAGGTAAATTTAACAAGATCCAAGGTTCATAACGAGCCTGAAGTCAGGGTGGAGGAGAGGGGATGTGCACAAGTATTTGTCACCCTCTAGTCCACCTCAGAGAGCAAACTGCTGCTACTACATGGTGGGACAGCTGTGTAAACCCAAGATATGAAAGTATGGCAAGTCCTGCACAGCTGAGGAGATGTCCCTGAAGCACAGCTGTTCTTCTAATCTGCTAGCATTAAGCCTTGCAAAGCAAAGTAATACGAAGTAAAACAAATTAATAAACCATTAGGAAAAGCATTTCCAGTTGCTCTTCTGAACTTAATCCCTTCAGCCTCTAAATATCACTTAAGGGTCTGTTACTCTGTTCTGCAGCTCGTAATTAAAATAGAAAGGCTGCAAAGCTGCTGGGAAGATAGTGATGGACAGCTCTGCAAATTGTTCCAACTGAACCATAAAACTGTCAAACAGATGATACATGTTAGTTGTGATGGCTCTATGCCTCCCAGAAATAAAGTGGATTCCTAATGGAAGACTTGGTAAGGTATTAAACATTAATTAGGGCTTACACAAGAGGTGTATATATAAAAAGGCTTAGCCTTGTAGCAATGGCAGAATGAAAGCCAGCACCTTTATTTCTGAATGTTGGTTTCTTGGCTAATTACCAGCAATACTTACCTGCAGCTGAGAAGGACATTTAACTTGAGAAAGCATCTTTGTCTTGCAAGGAGTAATGGCAGAACACCCTCAAGTTGCCTTCAGCTATCCTCACAAGCTCAGTACTGGAGAGCACTTATGCACTCAATTATTAACAGGGCTTCTACCTGGAACAGCTTTTGACGGTTTGCATCGTGAGCTCATGTGATGGTCACAGGAGTTCTCGTATGGAAATTAAAGCTATACTTGGCACCAAAATGGCAAACTGCTTTGTAATGGAGGTATAGTTTTAGTGGAGTGTGCTCAGGTTGGCCTGCTTAGGTAATTGAAGCCAATGAAAACTTTCCTAAGGACTCAGAGGTCAGCCATCCTGAATTTTCTGGAGGACCTTATGATTTGTTATTCTTACTGCCTTTACCTTTCTGAAGCCCCCACAAAAATAAGTGCAGTTCATGCCATGAAGAACAAGCAAGAACATGTAAATCTTGCGTCTTTTCATTCTTTAGGCAGGCTTCTAAATTTGTATTAATTAACCTCTTGATCAGCATCCAGTCACAACTGAGAGCTTAAAGAACCATCATTGATACTAATTCAGCCATTATCACAGGTTTCTGAAACTTGTCAGATTGAATGCAGACAATATTCCTTCTGACTCACAACAAACTGTACTTGTAGGTTTCTATTTAGCAAGTGCCGTGACTAACAATGGGTTAAATAGCCCATTAATAATATATATATATAAATAAACTATTTCCTCTAAGAACAGTTCCACAGAAGAAATGGAAGCAAGTCTTGTAGCAACAGGGGGAAACTGGGAACAGTAACCACTGCTGAAGAACATGTTCTTACCCAGCTATGAGTGGCTGGACTCATCTTACACTTGTTTAGCACCATGAGGTGCTGTGAAAACTCTGCTGGGTCAAGTTCTTTAGAAAGTAATACCCAGGAGGTCAGACTACAAGATTAGAAGGTCTTTTTGGTCTTAAGGCATTCTGACTCAGGCAGATGAAAGGCAGAAGGTGCTGGCCAAGTTGCCACAGATCTGCCGTCCTTCTCTATACAGAATCAGGGCACTTAAGTCATCAGGGAGTTGTGGGCAGCATGATTCACTCCTACAACCGGACCCAAAACTTGTGAGGGAGCATAGGCCATGCAGCTTCTCTGTCTGCACTGCTATCAGAATTACTCTGCTTTCTAGCCCAAGGCCTCCAAGCTACTCATAGAGGCTTTCTGATTGACTAGGGAGTAAGTTTCACTAAGTCTCATCTTTGTGACACTCAGTAGAGATTTAGAAACTTTTTGTTTCTACAGATACCATGCTGTCAAGAAGGCCTTCCACAAAATGGTCATGTCTGACATGGAAGAGAGCCACCAACACAGCTTTACAAGCTATCTGAGATGTGTTAGACCACTACCAATCTGGAGCAGCCCCTTGTAATTGCAACAGTGCAACAGTGTAAAACAGGGGCTGTCCCTGAGCATGCTTTCCCAAAAAAGACCTGTTAACCAACACTGCAGTGAAGGGCATTTTTTCCTTCTGCTCCCCTCCCTGAGAGGTGCACTAATCACTCTTCCAGTGTGGAGGCTCCTTGCATGTCTCCTTGGCACACAGAGCTGTGCAGCTGTGCCCACCTTCTGTGTTGACACTAGTTGTGGGGACAGTAGGAACACAACACTCTGAAAGAGTGTTAATTTAAGATTGATAACACCCATCAACTACCAACCCTTTCTCTCTGGTGTTGTGCTTAGCATGCTTGTTTCATTCTTAGTTCTAAGTCTAATGCATAAGTACTTCCTAAAACGAAAGCTGTTGTGACAGTGAGTCCTTGGGATGCTAATTCCTCTGGCAAGGGAAGGTCAGTTGTGGTCATAGTTGTGGTCAGGTTGCTGGTACTTGTGGCTGTTTTCTTTAAACAAGCAAACAAACAAACAAACACTTTTGTTATTGTTAGTTCCCAGGTAAAATTCGAAACTTGGACCCAAGGTGGCTCTTCCCTTGGGAAAACAGTCTCATCACAGAATTCTGCAACCCTTAGTAAAATCTTTTTAAAAAGATTTAAAAATCGTTTCTCTTCTGAGCTAAATGGAGAAGTCCAGCACCACAGTTCTGAGATGGAAGTTTTCGCTGGAAAAGAAGGCACATTGTAGTCATGAGGTATATGATGATTTTCCACCTTGCCAGACTTCAGTGCACTCATAGGCCTTAATGGGGTCATTCTAACAGAACCACCCTCACCAGACCCTGGGCTCAGCAGCTCCACTCAGCTCAGCCTTTGGGCCGTCCCTCCCTGCCTGGATGATAAGATCGATATCCCTGAAAAAAAGTCCAAGTGTTTATTGAACAGCCCCAACTAGACATGCTTGGGAGAAAGCCAGGGTAGGATGAGACGTATCATCAATGCAGAGATACTGATCTATGTTCTTGAATGCATCTGCCTTGGGCATGTGATAAATATGCAGAACTGCGAGCGGCCCCACATATTGGCTAAATCTGTTGCATTTTGCAACGATGATAATAAGACTGTCTAATCAGTTTACCTACTTACACGGGATTTTGCATTCAACAGGTAAAACAAGAAAAAATAAGGAAATACCCTGTGAAGAGCAAAGAAGAACTTTCATCACTGAGTCAGGCTATTCACATCCACCATAGCATGTCCCGGGAACTGATGTCACTGCTGTGTAGAGGTAGTGCCTTCGTTATTATATGCAGAAAGTCCATGGCAGCTCCATGGGGGAGCTGTGGAGATGCAAAACTCAGAGCATAACTTCATGCTGTGCATCCTGCAGCCCGGAATAGCACATGGGAAAAGGCAGGAGCATCAGGACTAAAAGCAGAATTCACAGTCTCTGTGATTTCCACACTCCAGGTTCAATATCTTGTAGCATTTTTTTCCCACATGCTGTGATTAGCTGGCTCTGTGACTAAGGCCAAATTTATTTGATTAAGGGCTTGAGATAGCCAGGACACTTGCAGAACCCCCAAAATTTCCTGTGCACTTGTTTCCTGCATGGTGCCCAGATGCCTCCTGCTGGAAAAAAAAAAAAAGAATGCGCAGCAGGAAGAGTTTTCTGCTGCTTTTGAAGGAATGTGATCAAACTCTGTCCCAAAATCCATTCTCGGCAATACTGCAGGGAGAGCAGCTGGGTGGTGGCCTCTTATGTCAGTGGCACTGCATGTGCCCAGCTGTGCTTCCTAGTGGGCCTCCCTTTGGTTTTCCTAGCAAAACAGCACCTTGTTGCGTCTTCAAACACCGCCGAGATCCACGAAAAGTGAACCGTGCAGGCACACAAGCTTCTCAGTCAGAGCTCAGTAGCTTCCTAAAGATAGTTCCACTGCAAACGGTAGCTAGAAAGCAGAGGGGAACTCAGGCAGCTCCGTGTGTGATTCACGGGCTTCACCGGGACACTATGCAGCTGGAGGGCACAGTGGCAAGTTCGATAGCCAGCAGCTCATGCACATACACAGTTATTTTTCTTCATCTTTTTGGTATTTTTTTTAACTTTTTACTTTAACAGTTATTGCAACCTAGCCTCCCGCCGGGGTGAAAGTGCCGGCTCCCCTGAGGCAGGCAGGGCGGCAGCCTGCGTACCCGCTGCTCCCTCACCGACCGCTATTGGAGCAATTGGAGTTGCTAGAGCCGGGGAACCGTTACGGGCGGGGAGCCGTTGGGAGCCGTTGAGGGCGGGGAACCGTTAGGGGCGGGGAACCGTTGAGGGAGGGAGCCTCCCCTTGGGAGCATTGAGGGCGGGGAACCGTTGAGGGCGGGAACCACTGGGAACTGTTGAGGGCGGGAGCCGTTAGGAGCTGCTGTGGGCGGGGAGCCGTTGAAGGCGGGAGCCGTTGGGAGTTGCTGTGGGAGGGGAGCCGTTGAGGGCGGGAACCATTGGGAACTGTTGAGGGCGGGAGCCGTTGGGAGTTGCTGTGGGAGGGGAGCCGTTGAGGGCGGGAACCCTTGAGGGCGGGGAACCGTTGGAGGCCGTTGAGGGCGGGGAACCGTTGAGGGCGGCAGCCTCCTGTTGGGAGCGGGGCGCCGTTGAGGGCGGGAGCCGTTGGGAGCTGCTGAGGGCGGGGCGCCGTTGAGGGCGGGGAACCATTGAGGGCGGGAACCATTGAGGGCGGGAGCTGTTGGGAGATGCTGTGGGGAGAGAGCCGTTGGGGGCGGGAGCCGTTGAGGGTGGGGAGCCATTGAAGGCGGGAGCTGCTGGGAGCGGAGATGGGCGGGAGCTGCCTCTCGTCCTTCCGCCTCGTGGGGCGGGCGGCTCATGTCGCCTCGCATCCAGGCCGCCTCGGTGAGCGGCCACCATGAGGCTGCTGCTCTGGCTCCTGCTGCAGCTTGGCGCCGGCTCCGCCGCTGTGGTGGTGAACGTGGATGTGCGGCGCGCCGAGCGGCCCCTGCGGCACTTCTGGAGGAGCACTGGCTTTTGGTAAGAGAGCGCAGCACTCGCAAGGGAGGGTGCCTGTTTGTAGGCCCCACACCTTTGGTGAGAAGCCCTTCTGAACAGAGGGAGTCCCAAGGGTGACAGACCTGACTTCCTGGAGGGGCTCGTTGCTGAGGGACCTCAAGAATCTGTCCCTGACTGCCCTTTGCTGTTCAGCCTGCTCATGTGTGTTGTAAAGTTGGAGCTGAGAGTGGGATGTCACCAGTAAAGCAAGCTAAACAAAATGAGCCATAAAAGAGGTACTAACTGACATCCCTGTCTTGTTGCTTTCTTTTAAAGTTCTGTGAACATGCACAGTGATTTCTTATCTCCCAGAATGGCACTCTGATTGATTTGCACATGATGTTCCCATTCATTATCAAGTGTTTCCATTATCACAGTCCCTAAATAGATCCAGGCAGAATCTCTGTAGTTTCGTTCTGGGAGTTTCCTCTTGCAAGACCACTATGTTTTACTTTTGGCCTGCAGCATCCTCCTGATCTGTCTGTTGAGTCTGACTGATCTAGGTCAAGGGAGCAGAGTCATGGACGACCCCAGTTCCTGCACATCTTCCCTGCTGTTTGCTGCTTCCCTGCATTGCTTCCTGGAGAGAGCACTGCTTCACCCAGCTGAGCTGAGTGGGATTTGCAGGAGGCTCGAGGGATGTTAAAGTGTAGGGAACTGGGGAGGAGATATTCCTCCATGTGGCACCTAATCCTTTTGGAGGATGGAAACTTTAGGAATTTTCTCTAGTGTTATCTTAGCTTTGATGGAATAAATAGACACCAAAAACATTTTAACATGACTAGTGCTATATAGCCTTGAGCAGATAAATAGCATAAAGAAACTTCAAACCACTTACTCACATGTTCCCTCCCATGAAACATGTACATCCCATATATCACAGAAGTGTGAAAGCTCTGAGAATCTGATCCTGCCTCCAAAAAGGTGTAGTTTTTGCATCTGGGAAAGATTGATGTCATGGACATGTCATGGACATGGACTCTGTTAAGAAGAGGAAGACCATATTTGTCTTACTACAGACCTGGGAAAATCTGACATTTTGCTTTCATCTCATGCTGGACAGTGTTCTTCATGCTAGGGAGGATCTTACCATACCCTTCCTATAGACTTAGCACAGATTGCTCTGGATACCACATGGTTAGCTGCTATGGCAACTCATGTTCTCTTCTATGTCCTTTTTTCCCAAAGTCCTCCTCTGCCTCACAGCCAAGCTGATCTATTTGACCTGAGCAAAGACCAAGAGATGAATCTTGCCTATATTTCTTCTGTTCCACATGATGGTATTGAACAAGTTCGAATTCACTGGTTACTGGAACTAGTTACTGTCAGGTAAGGCAACACTTACAGTGAAAATTTCCCACATAAATAGTTGTGACCCATTGACAGATTCGGCAGGTAATCACATTGGTATTTGTCTCAGTATAACTGCAAGCTGAGCATGTCTAGGTTTTCCTTGAAGTCATCTAAGTCCTTAAAGGGCTGCAAAGGGAAAATCAGTTTGGTCATATATGAAGTTAAGACGGTGATAGCTAATATTGAGAAAGACAGGATTAACTTATACGCATGACATCATAACCACAGGTTAAGGGAAAATTCAAGGTTTACTGTCATCTGAAGAGGCTTATGGGTAGCCTGGTCAAGTGTTACCAACATGCTCTGAGATCGTACCCCATGGTCAATCTATGTCTCCTGTGCTTCCATGCCCAGCCTGCAGGCCCTTGAGTCCTAGTTGCAGCATGACCTCCAGAGAGGCCTCAGGCTAGCAGAAGTGGATCTCATTGACCAGTACATACTTTAGATGCTAGTTCAGATTTTTGAACCGAGTGCCTCTTGTCTGAATTATTTGTTGGTACAACGTGGAAGTGTGAAATCTAGAGGAACTACTTCTCATGTAAGCAAAGTAATGTTCTGTTTTGCAGCCAGAGCATCTATGACGGCTAGTCTCAGGTGAATTCCAAGCAGCAGTCACTGAGGCTGTGCACTGAACATGGATTATCACTACCTTTTCTTCAAGTCTAGCAGTGTAATACAGTAACACCAGCAGCTACTCAGTGTTGAAGAGTTTCGCTGAGATAATCCCAGGAAAAGCCAGACTTTGAGAATTCAGTTTCTCCTCTGGGTATTAAAAGCCTGACTGCTTCCATGTGTATGTAGAACACACTCCAGCCTTAGATCTGGTTCGATATTCAGGCCAGTATGTCATGCCTGCTTTAGGTGAATCTCTGAGAAAAGCTAAGAATGGGGGAAGAATAGAGTACTATGCATCACTACTGTGCATTTTTAACAAAGTACTTCAGGTGGCAGTGTTGCCCCAAATAAGGCTTCTTACCAGCCCTGTTAAGAGATGTGTGCTCTGCAAACCATTGGTCATTCTAAGAGTCCTGAGGAGTCAAAAATATGTATTACTTTTCTGTCTTTTAAGTTAGGAAATACTGCATATCAAAAGCAAAAAGCAAAATAAAAAAATATAACAAAGATTCAAACTAGCTAACTGTGCTTACTGTGAGGTCCAAATTAAATCATTACCTCTAGCTTTCTTACATGTAATTTTTTTTCTTTTTATAACCTTATCTTAACTATGCCCACCCTAAAGGGGCAGAACATGACAGCACTGACAATGAGTGGAGGGGGAAGATATGGGAAATGCAGATAATGCCTAGGACAGGAATAGAGGAAAGGCAAACTGGGGAAAAAAAAAAATTGTAATAACTTGTATTACAAGTGCAAACTGTAGCTGATGTTGTATTCTTCCATATTTACAACTATGTCACTGCTGCCTCTGCAGTCCCACGCACAGTAAAGTTGGAATTTACTAGCTGGGAGTTTTGGACATCAATGAGGTGAAGAAGGGCTCAGGCAGACTGTAGAGAAGCATGTGACTGTAGAGGATCTTAGTGTGTGCTTTAGGAACAGGAGAGATTTTCTTCCTGACTGTAGGGGTCTTCTTGTGTTTGTGTGTGTGTGTGTGTGTTGGTGATGCTGCACACAGGTGAGTATGGCACCCGTATCATAGGGTGTCATCTATGAATATAACAAGAGCTTCTCCTTCGCATCTTTCACTATGAAAGTTTCCCTGTAAAAACCCTCTCTGTGCTGTCCCTCCTTCTTTTACTGGCTTACAAATTCTATGCTTCTTGCAGTGACCAGCTTTGGTAGGAAGGGTGATGTTTGACACATAAGGGTCTTCCCTGAGAGATGCCTTGGGTCAACAGCCACATCTTCATATCAAAGGCCAGAATCCCTCCCAATAGCCTCATCAGCTGTGTGGTGTGTTGAATTGGGCTTTTTAAAAAAGATCACGGAGGCAGAAGAATAACTCTTACAAATTCTGCTCAGTCGTTTTAGAGAGCTAAAGCTCTTCAGAGTAAGACCGTATTGATACAGTTCAATTTTGGGAATCTGCAAATTTAGTAATTTGTAGGAAGTACCAGAAAGGACATAGGGCTATGTGGTTTAGGCACTGGCCCACCAGCTTCAATATTTAGACTGCTTTCATACAAAAACTTTGCTGCTGATAAGAACCAAACTAAAAATGCTCATTTTGCATTAATGTAAATTTGTTAAAGACAAGATGACATTTAAGCTGTGGAAGGACAGTCCGTGAGCTGAACTGCAGTGAGAAAGCTTGCAACTTGTGAAAAAACACTGAGCCTGGAAGAGGAAATGGTTGGAAGGAATGCAAGTCAGGACAAGAGGAGCTTCATATCAGTGCAGTACTCTGCATAAGCAGTTTTATTTCTGAATGAAGGACATAAATGGAAACGTGCAAGAATCCTGTGACAACAGAGGTCACAGGACCTCTGTTATGTTTTAGGTTTTATGAGTTGAGATGATTTCTAGGAGGATAACGAATTTTATATTTTTTTTCTAGATTATTAAGCCCACATTCTTCTTTTCTGCTCTAAATATTTCTGTTATTTTGTCCAACCATGAAAGAACACCACAGTACAAGCCCTTTTCAAATAACTGCTGATTTTATTTTTTAATCAAAAGCTCACATTTTTGTCCAGCTCTTACAATACAAGAACATTCACAATTAAGAGGGATTTCAAAGTGCCTTTCCTGGACTGGATAGTTCCCAGGTTATTATTTACCAGTATGTTTAACTATTTTGACAGCTCTGGACAACATATTCTGGCCATACTGCATTAGCCAAGGAGAGAGCTTGAGGTAAAGATACTGATTCTTTGCCCAGCTCTATCGGACCCAGACTTTCTGCAGGTTATGAGCCCTCCACTATTCTTATGTAACAATACTAAAAGTTGTGAGGCACTACTGTGGACAAGCCCACGGACCATCCACATGATGGCAATAACTCTTTCTAACATATAATTTAACAATTTTATTCCAACATTAGTATTAATTCAGTTGGAATTAAAATCTATCCCCAGGTTGTCTCCAAGTCATGGTAACCTAATTCCTGCTGGTGCAACAGGAGAGAAGAGAATTGGCAGTTTTCAACATTTTCAGTCTGCATACTGAATCCTGATATAATGTAGTACAACAGGCATAAACCTGTCAGTTGAAGATTGCTTGGTGACCTTTTTCAGACTCCTTAGAAATCATTTACAATTTCCCAGCATGCATATGTCATAGCACAGAAAGCCATTTCCTTGCTGTTTTTGACATTGTCTAACACAACAACGTCATTTTGAGCCATCTCTGACAATGAAACTAAAATAACAAATAATTCGTGTCATCTGTTCTTACAATAGAAGTTTTAAGGCTCATCTTCCCTTATATAAGTGTCTCTGGTTAGCTCTTCTCTGGTGTCTTTTTCTTTTTTTTTTTTTTTTTTTGGTACTAAATAGGGTGAAAAAGACCTTTCTGATACTTAATTTCTTGGTATGCTAGATCTGAGAAGGAGAAAGATGCAAGGGAGGCTTTTCTGTTTTTTCAGAGACTATTGGTCAGTATTAGAGCTCTGAATTCCCTTTTTGTAAGGCAAGTATACACCTTCCATTGCCATCTGTTTTCCTCATCTTGAATGAGATCCATCTTGTTATGGATTTATTTTTCATTTTTCTTTTATGATCTAGATTGTTACCTTGGCCTAGAAAGATAAATTTAGATTGCCAAAAGGAGTGTTCTTACCTACTTAAACTGTTTTAGTTATTTTAAGCAATGCGTTGCTTTGCCACAACAGCAAAAGACTGACTGTACTTGTTAACTTGTTTGGCAATAGCTCTTATAAACCACTTCCTCATGCTACAGTCTAGCAAGAGTTTCACTGATTTAAGAAAAGTTACAAACAGACAAAAAGCAACACCATGACCTTTAGCTCTGCACACTTGATTGTATGTCAAAAAATAAGCTAATTTTAAGAGGGAAGCACTTGCTTTATGGTAAGAAAACACTGCTAGTAGTCAAAGCGTAATCTCTTGGCAAGTGTTTCTGTCAGGTTTTACTGTTTTGGCAGTCCTGGGAATGTAGACCTGACATGCTTTTTACTAATGGGTGCATGGGAACCTCAGAATCAAAATTACCAGCCTAAAGCTGTGCTACTTTCCATCCCCATGCAACAATCTTTGGAGCACCTGGAGAACTCTTTGCTCTTTTCACTGTGTGTGGTCTGAGAAGTTGAAATAAGAAGTCTCATGATGCCTTTTGTTCAATTCAAAACACACAGCAGAGAAATAGCTTCAGCATACATGGAACCCAGCCTAGAGTCTGCTAAGTGTAAAAGGCAGAGGTGTGAGAAGCCTTTCTTCCACACCCCCTTACTGTGTGTGTGAACAAGCAATAAAGAAGGAGGGAAGGGTAAAAGCTGCCCTACCTATAAGGTAGGCAGTCATAAGCCTAACCTATTTATTGGGTTTGAGAAGGGATATTCTACAAAAGCCAAGAGCCAAAATACACAGTACCAAATTTAGGTCCCTACTTATTTGGAAAGACAATGCATTGGGCCTTTGGGACATCATTTGACACAATAGAAAATGAACACCCATTGGAAGAAATTTGTAGAAAAAGTAATTCATCCCTGGAAAACACAGGTTAATGAACATCAAATCAAAGGAAAACATGATAAGGGGAAGGGGGGAAGCCTGTAGTATAAGGAATAGTGAGATTTTTCCAGCATGTAGGGATACATAGTTAACAAAGCATTGTCCGTTAATCAGCCAAGATATGTTACTATAAAACTGTATTAGCATTACAACAGAGAAGGCCAGTCTAGCAGTCCTGCTTTGTCACTACTCTTGCAGTCAGGTAGCTGGTTTGCCTTCTCATCCTGCCTTTTCTTCTCCCATATTCTTTTGCTAGCCTAGCTCCCAGGTAGGCTGTTACAAGGCAAACATCCTGTGTTTCAGCACAATTCTGTGGCTGATCATCCCTGTGTGTCCGTGAATTAGATCTGCATCAGCCCAACCAGAGCAACTCATTTTGACAGATTGTATAGCAATCAGAGTCACAATAGGACTGGCAGTCAAAACCTGCATTAAGAGTTTATACTGTCTCATTACTCATGATAAAATAGTCTGTTAGGGCCATGTTTCTTCCTGTGTTACTAAGAATATTAAAACCTTCATCAGCTGGTTACTGTAACAACATAGGTGATTTTTTTTCAAGGGTATTTTTTTGGACATGATACTTTTGAGAGGACCATGTGATGAATCATAATTTCTTCTCCAATGGTAGATTGTGTCATTAAGCCCTTGAAATCAAGGAGAGACATGTTATCTCCCACAATATTTTATACACAATTGCATGTAAATGGTGGGAATTGTTTTCAGGAGCATACCTGGAACCAGGACAAAGCAAGTGCCTTCCAATCCCAACTTTAAGCATTATGAGGCCAAAATGCTAAATGCATTGCATTTTCTTGAAAATGGCTTATGCCTCATAACACAAATGAGCTAATGAACTCCTGGGGCAAGTGGCTAGTATTGGGCTGACTTCCAGTACAACAGTCTTATGATGTATATATTTGACTGTGGTCCAAGGGGAAGTCAATTTCAAACTGCCTATAGCATATCACATGCATTTTAGAGTGGAAGAATAATAATTCAACCTGTTCCAGGCTGGTACTAGTGACTCTTCTGCGTGGCACCTGGCAAACTGCAGAACTCTTCTGGGAAAAATGGCTTGTAGGCCCCTTGCTGTATGCAGCCAGTGATGCGTCTGATAATTTTAATTATTGCAAACTGCCTCTTCTCATCTGTCGCTTGTGTAGCCAGTTGCAGGAAAAAAGCAGACTAAACACCAGTGCAGTCTGCTGGAACGTTTAGGTCTCTTGCAAACTGCACGGCATTGTGTATGCTGTAGAATAGCAATTCTTGCATATTTCCAAAATCCTTCCCAAAGTAACCTCCTCTTTTCAAAGAGTCTATTACTGAGGGATTGCAGCAAGCCAGGAGAACAGAAATGTTTAGCTCCTTGTAGTCTTTCAGGATTTCCTTCAGTGTATTAACTCCAGTGGTGTCCAGAAACGAGATGGAAGAACAATCTACAATAATGGCTTGGAAATCAATTTGCTTGGGTACTAGTTGCACGATAGTTTCTTCCATGCCCAGTCCATTAGCAGAAGTTTGATCTCCCTTTTTCAGTTGCTGCTGTTCCTTCTTCTCATATTTCTTCCTTCTTGCAGCTTCTAGATTAGGATCTAAGTCAGTCAATCTGTACAGAGACTTCAGGAAGTAGTTTCTATTTGCATAGTAAAGTGGTGCTTCAAAACGAAATATTTTGACCTTTGGAACAGAAGAGAGGTTTTTGTATTCCAGGTCATCCTCATAAAAGTTGGTGTTCTGGATCTGACCAAGCAGGGCTGTCCGTGGCTGCTGTGTCCGAACAATGATGCACAGCATGGAGAAAATGATACCAACCAAAAGCCCTATTTCTGTGCTAATCAAGGCGGATGCAGACATAGTAATGATCCAAACCAGTGTGTCCACCTTGTTTACATGGTATCGTGCTGGCACATCTCGGAACTTCCTCAGGGCTCCTCGGAGGCTAACAATAATGATACAAGCCAGGACACACTTCTGCAAGGAGTAGAAGAGAGGTGCCAAGAAGAGTAGCACCATCAAAACCACCATTGCACTAATCACTCCAGAGACTTGAGTCTGACAGCCTGTTGATGTTTTGACAAGTGTTTTTGCTAGAGCTGCACTGGTTGCAAAAGAGTGGAAGAATGAAGGAATGATGTTGCAGAACCCCACAGCAAACATTTCTTGATTGGCTCGGATGGTGTAAGCATATTTCTTTGCACACATTTCAGAAAGGGATACAGTGAATGCAAAGCTTATTATGGCAAGTGGCAAGGCATCTACAGCGACACGGAGCATTAAGTCAAAGCATGGCACCTTGGGGGGAATAAATCCTGTTGGTATAGCTCCAGAAACACTGGATGCATATAATTCATTCAGATTCCCATAATGTGATACCAGTGTTGCCACAACAATAACCACCAGCTCTGTGGGCAGAGGAAATTTCAATTTATGCTTATACCGATCTCCTAGTTCCTTAGCTGTGACCAGCACCACAATACAAATGGCACTTGTGATGACATCACAAAGGTTAGCCTGAGTAATGTTCTGGAAAATATTAATCCAAGTAATTATGAGCATTCCGTGCCCTTGGCTACGTGGGATTTTTATTCCAATCAGATACTTCACTTGAGCTGTTAAAATGGTTAAGGAAGCACCAGTTGCAAAGCCGTCTAGCATAGACTCGGACAGATACATAGATACAAAACCCAGATGAAAGATTCCCATTAGAACCTGTGAAGAGAAAGGAAAAAAAAAAGCTTTAGATTTATTCTACATATAATTAAGTACAGATGGGAGGGGACTAGTTCTAGGCAAGCAATGTTTGCCTATTTACATCTTAAGATAGCAAGTATCTTATGATGTTTTTAATCTGCTTTTAAAATAAGTGGATTCCTTTCACTGTTGTGAGACGTTGCATACAAAAGAAATAATTGATGAGATTAAAATGGAGTCAAATCAAGATCTGTAACTCCAACCTCGGTACAAAGTGACTGCACAGAAGTGACTTGTCTAAGTTTTATTTCTTGAATGAAGATGCGGTGGATACCTAAGTGTTTCTGTGTATTAAAGCCAGAGACACATAATAATTTATTCAGTCTTAAAGTGCACAGGTACCTGACAATTTGTCATATCTAAATGAAATCCATTATCCCATGAAGGTAGCAAGACCAATAGGCAACAGAGAATCAAAACATTATCAGGCTTGCAGAAGGCTGTTGGTTTACCTGTGCTTGCTAATAAAACTATATGGTTCAGGATTTTTCTGAGTTGCCTCCAGAGTTAGGATTCCGGAAGAAAACAGTACAATCATTGAAGTGAAATGATGCTGCATTGTCATTCTTGTATGAAGGAGGAAACTCAATAATGCAAAGAAGCCTCATGAATTTCATACCTTTTCTCTGATGTCGGCAACCACCTACCTGATACACTCCAGCTACAAATGTCAAGGCTGTAGCAATGCCGATAGCATAGCATTCTTTCCCACACTCTACACTTGTTCCTCCAATGGTGAAATTGAAGGCGGTTGTGTTGGGTTTGCTGTTGTTCCAGAGGGAGCCATCACCCAGGCCTGGTGGAGCATCATCATTCAAATCAAACCCAGCCAAGAGAAGCTCTCGGTCCACAACTTGTCCTACCATTAAGCTTATCAAGCTGAAAATGCCAACTGAGACATGACGGGATGTGCCCATCAAGAAATAAATGATGTTGGCAAAGAATGATGTGTAAAGACTGTAAATGGGCTTTAGACCTGCCAGCAATGAGTATGCAATTGCTTGCGGTACCAGAATGATCCCAATCACTAGCCCAGACATGATATCCCCCCATATATACTCTTTGCACCGGTACTTGGGAAGCCACCGTAAGACAGGAAAGAAGTCCATGATAATGTTCTTCATTTTCCTTGGGGTGCAAGAACAGCTCTTCCTTAGCTTGGCTAACATGATCTTTTTTCTGTTAATCTTGACCTGAGTCTTTCTTTCCATAAAAAAGCAGGAGGAGGTGCTGCTTTCCAGCCTGGTAGCCTCCAGTTGTCTTTCCATTGTGCCAGTGTTTACTTCATGCATCTGTTCCTGCAGTGGAAAGGAAATGCTGTTAAGTTGTAACTTGTCAAGTTTTCTTAGCACAGATACTTAATACTAAAAATTCATCACCTGTTTGTGTTTTTATCAAAATATCTTCCCACTGGGAACAAACCACAGGCCCCTGGTATTGAATCACATAACGCTAAGAAATAAATCTGTAATGCTGAGCCCTTTTCTGCAGACATTTTCTGCGGACATTTAGGAATGAATTAAATGGATTATAATTTGTTTTTCAAAGTAAAAATGGAGCTAAAGTGGTGATGGTGGTCACTATCCAATGTGAAAGAAACATACAGTAAAGGATAGACTCTAGTCTTTCTGTGAGTTTGTGGTTTTTGATGTGGAAGTCACATATGGTATAGCAATCTGTCACAGCAGGTGTGCTCAGAGCACAGGAGATTACTTCTTCTAGAGTTCTTGGAGACAAACCACCAATGGACCTTTAGGAACTGTCTTATTAACTGCCCCATAACATGAACCCATTGCACTATAGATTATTTGATGTGCAACTTTATTAATTACTAAATGTTTCTTTATCAGCACCAGTCAAACATTTTGTGGACCATATTACCACCTCTGAAGAGTGATACATGTTAGTATTTTCAGGAAAAAATGGTATTTTCCCTACATTTGCCCTCCTAGCAATAAAATATAACAATTAGTTCTGTGGGCAGTGGAACAAATACAGACTTGTTCCTAATAACTAAGGAACTATGGATGGGAATTTTTTTCTTCTCCTAAAGGAGGTACTCTATTGACCTAAATGTGTCTGCCAAACTTAGATCCCTGTACTTCTATATAGTTGCAAATTAAGTTGAAGGTAGCTTAGTCCATCCATAAATAATTTGCGTGTAGAGGGATACCTGACTGAGATGCAGAGCAATAGCACTTAAGGGTGCCCAGCATTAAAAGGACAGTTTAATAAAATAGGAGCAGGAATGTAGAAAATGTCAAAGATCCTGTCATCTGTCAAATCTTGTCTTCAGATTTGCAATGGAATGAAAGTAGAAGAGACTGTAAAGAATGAATGCCTACTTACAAATACTGAGATAAAATGAATACCAAATTTTAACCTGGAAGAGAGAGCATGTGATAGTACTAACAGTCTGCAGAATATGTAGGAGCTTGGGAGGGAAAACTTCTCCATCCTCAGCTTTTCCCAAATTCATGAACAATTAAGATCTCTGCAATGCTAGAGATGACCTGCTAATACTACTGCTAAAGGCTATGGCCTCTTAGAAGGAAAGCAACAAATGTCAAAACATTTTTTAAAACTTAAAACTCCGATAAACTACTAAAAATTATCTGCAGTTAGTTAAATGAGGAGCTTTTGTGTTCTTTCTGAGTCAGATTTTCAGAGTTAGCTGAGCACCTTGAAGTATGGATTGAGGCTGAGTGAATTTTCAAAAATACCTACTTAGCTTGGTGCCAATATCTTGCAAGAATCAGGCATTTTGTCTCGTTCTTGGTAAAGGGACTTCACACCCAAAAGCTCTGCTTTTTCTAACCAGTTAAAACAATCTAATAAAAATATTTTCTCTCCCTACCAATTTTGTTTGTGCAGCATCACTAAAAGATATCAATTAACCTGTCCAAGTACACAACAGAATTCATCTACACATCTTTATTTTGATAAAGTGGAAACAAACTAGGCTCTGCAAAGATAAAAACAAAAATATCTTTATTTGTGGTGACACACATTTTTGCCTTGTGCAGAATGAAATTACTGTATTTTGAAATTTAGTCCATATTCAGAATCTTTGCTGGTACCAAGTGTGTTCAAAGCATGTGTGAGAATAATAGCCAATATACGCAATAACCAGTAGAGCTACTACCAGCAAAAAATATAACTTTGGTGCTTGTTGAGTTCTTATGTGGTAGAAGATGCATCTGCATTTAATACAGCAGAACAGCTGATTTTAATAGCTATCACAACAAAGATTTTTGAGGATAAGTGTGGCACTGCCATATAATAACAAAGCTTCTGCTTGCTCCCAACCTGAAGCTGTTCCTTTTTTTGTACAGATGCCAGCCCCTTCAATTCCCTCAAACTTGAATTTACTCACTGTCAAAGCATTTTCTGATGTATTTTAATAATTTTAACAATTAATAGTAAGTTTACAGTCTAGTGCCTGGAAACATCATTCTCTGTGTATTATTACTTTTGTTTTTGTTTCTCTTGAGGATATCTTAATTTGTTAGTGTTTGGTAGCATCTGATTTAAGTGTAGAAGTTCAGCTGAGGAATTTCAGTGTACTTCTGCTCTGATTAGAAGCATAATCAAAACCTAAAAGAATACATAACCAATGAGCATTAAACTGATGCTCAGTAATACTCCTAATAAAAGAGTGGTTCATTTTAAGATCTTTTCTATTTGTCCTACTTAGCAAGGGAAAATTTGTAAAGATTTTACAATTACCTTTAGTCAGCATAGTTGAAAACAATAACACAAAGATATACTTCTGTAGCTAGTACAAAAGTCTGCAACAAATTCCCAGATATTGTTTTAAGTAATAGCCTAAATTTCAATGGTATGCAAAATTTAGCTACAGTTTTAGGCAGAAGTGCCAAAGTATTATAAGTATGTAGTTCATGACTTGGTACAAGGCAGAAAAAAGATGCTTTTGGAGATGAATGGACTGTTTGTCCATATTGAAGATTACCTAAAAGGTGGTAAAAACATTTTTAAAAAATCAGTTGATTTCTATGCATCCAGATTACATTAGTTTTTAAGTTCCCCTGTGCATTTTGTTATGTTTCTGAGTAAGATTTAGGTCAGTCATACAGGATAGTGAATCATAATTTTAATATAATTATCTAGAAAGACGGATGACTTTTTTATCTGTCTTGTCATATTTAAACTTGAACTGAGTGTTTATACTAGGCAAGATTTGTTTGGACTACAAGTAGGTTGGGTCTGATCTTTGTTAGAATGTAAAAATGAGAGAAAAGATAAAAGAAAGTACAAAACCAGGAGGAATGCAAAAGAACATATGATTAAAGCTTACCAAATACTGAATATTAGAAGCTACAGCAAAGACATTCATTTTTAAGATGCGAAAAATAATACTTCACATCTTACCTACATTAGTTTGGAAAATGAGAATTTTGTACACGGAGACAGAGAGCCCTGTTCAAATGCCACCTACTCCTTACAGCCAAGTGAATTCAGGCAGCCAAGAAATAAGTGACCTTATTTTACATACTTACAAACTAGTGGGCAGTCAATATCCAATGAGTGCTTTTGAGACGCTATTTAGAAAAAAATGCATTCACATCTGTGTACTAGACTTTGATATTTGATTGTGTATAGATATTTGATTTGAGTTGCTTCTGCCTCTCCCTAAACTTTCACTATTTACTTATAAATCATATATATACAAAGAAAACAAAAAAGGTAATTAATGCATATATAAAGCCTGTACAGCTATGTGGTAGATGCCATTTGCTTTTAATACTTTCAATAAACAGAGTAATTTTTTTTTTATGGAAATCTGTTAAGAGTTTTGTGTACCAGATAGTAATATAGTAATATAATAATGAATATAGGCTGTCTGCCTTGCTGGATAATCAGAACAATAGTTCTTTTTGAAAGGCAACAAAACTTCTAAATTGCAGAAAAGCTTGTTTGCTAAAGCACAGATCTGTTAAGCATTTTTGATGCATGTTAGCAAAAGGTCAAAAACTAGCTCCTGATGGAAACTGATGTGTTCAAGCAAAACACAGCCAAATGCTAGCTTGAAGTCATTATTTTCCATTTTATTTTCTCCTGAAAATAAGAGTTTCTTCCTCAATATAATTTTAAGAATGTTATGTTAAATGAACATGCTACCTGTAAAATATCTGACTATAAAGTTAGATGCTAGTATTATCCATTTGTGGCAGGCACTGTTAATGTTTACAGCTTAATCACTGATTTCAGATTATAATAAAGCCACACCAAATAATATTAGGGAGTGTTATTTGCAGTAAATCATTTTTTCAACTGTAATAGCCCAAGAGTTCTCAGACCATGTTGTAGGTAGGTTTATAGTTACTTAGCTGTGTCACTGGAACTATAGAAAATTGGAATGCAGTGATTGTATGATGCCCCCTAAACATTTTTACTTCCTAGCAAAGACTTCTTGCTGTCTCCAAAGACAATAGCAGGGCTGTACAACTGAAGTGGCAAGATACAGAACATGTAAATCCATGGTATACTTTAATATTAATCATTATAAACTGTTTAATAACAGTGGAAGTTACTTAAATACATGCATATATATATGTGTGTGTACATGTGTGTGTGTATAAATATATATATAGCCCATATATATATAAGTAATCAGTCATTTATAATTATATTTTGATGTTAGCATTCTGCTAGGCTTTTTCAAATGTACACGATTATATGGGCAAAAGGTTTTGTTTAGCTTTATCTTATATACACAGATTGTACTGAAGCCACTGAATTTCCACATCTGCAGCTTAAAAGAAAACTCCAAATAGGCATGAGAATTTTTGATACTTTTTCTGCCCATGCTTTGAATTCCTTGTTTTTTCAGGTTAAATGCAATGACTTGGTTTATCTTTGTGGAATAGAGAAACAAAGCAAAAAAGAACCATTCAGGCCAAATTGTCTGTCTGCTTTCCAGCTGGCTTCTGTCCCATCTTTCTTCCTGTCTTTTCATCCCATCAGTAAATTAACAAAAAGGTCTCTACATGGGAGGAAACATTCATCACAGCATGTTCAGCAGGATTTCTCTTGCCAGATGTCTTGATAGGCTGTGCCGCTCGAAAAACACTGGCTACACAGTTCAAGGACTTCCCCCAGACTGTGTTCTGGTGCATAATCTTGTCCCCCCCCATCCTAATATTATACCTCACAAAATAATTACTGAAGTGCTCCAGAAGCCTAAAATGGAGAAAGAACAGTGAGACTATTTCTCTGTCATAAGGAGATCACTGAAGTGGTCTTGGGATAGAAATCAGTGGATCATGGCTCTGTA